ATAAAATCTACGAAAAAGCTCTGCCTTCGAATCATCCTCATTTGGCTGGAAGTCATTTGAATTTTGCAGCATGTTACGAAAAAATGGGTGATTACACAACAGCTCTTAAAGTCCTTAAAAATGCTTATCAAATTCAGCAAAAAGCTTTTGAAGAAGGTAATCCAGCTTTTTCTTCTACCTACAGCTGGTTTGGAAGAGTTTATCGCAATATGAAAGATTATTCAAAGTCACTTGATTACTTTGAAAAATGCCTTGGAATAGATAAAAAAACACTACCTGAAAATCATCCATATTTTGGTATATCATACAGTAATATTGGTGATGTTCATCGATTCATGGGTAATTATGAGAAGGCAATTTCATTTCATCAAAAAGCATTAAATGTTCAAGAAAATGTTCAATGTAATCCTCTCGATTGTGCAACGACATATATAAATTTAGGTGAAACATATCGTCAAATGAAAGATTATACAACGGCATTGACATATTTTCAAAAAGGATTAGAAATACGTGAAAATAAACTACCAAAAAATCATCCTGATTTAGCTATTGTATATCATAATTTGTCAAAATTATATTCATCTACTGGACAATATAATATGGCAATGAAAAATGTTCAACAAGCCGTAGAAATTGCTCAAGAAAAATTACCTTCAAATCATCCTCATATATTGGAATATAAAGAAACATTTGAAAAAATTCGAAAGAAAATGTAATTTGTTTTTTTTTCGATTTGCTTAATAAATTTATTTGAATTACAATTGATTCTCGCGTACGCGCGCGCGCGACCAGGAAGACTCCCTGTAAACCCGCAATGGCTACACGCAGAGCGGACCACGCCGGACTGGTAGGGCATGATCATAGGTGTGACGTACGTCAACGGCGACAGGGACCTACGAACAGACGGCCTTCCCGAGTACTCCACTGCTATCGCCAACATAGGCACAAGAAATCCCCCTGGGTCAGATTACGAAGCCATCTGACAGGCTGTGATATAAAATAGTATCTATCTCCCTCTCTACAGAATAACACAAGTATGAAAGAAAAAAATAACTTGAAAAGTTCTAGTGGCCAATAGAACTTTTCAACTTATTTATAAATTTTTTATCCCAATACGAGAAAAAAAAAGAAACAACATACCCTATTTAAGATTGGAATATATATATGTATTGTTGATACAAAGATCGATTGAATTGAATGATTTTATACAAGAAAATCATTCCTTATATAGGATATTTGAAGAACATGAACTATCACTCATTGATAATGATTAATAGATAATCATCGACGATCAATTTATCGTCAGTCGACGATGAATATGTACTTATTCTATTTACATTACATTCACAGCCGTACCTCAGTGACTAAAAAGAAAAAAAAAGAAAACAAAAACAATTCATTTCAATTAGAGATGGGCCGTCAGACGTAATAAGCGTTACGATATATAACGAAAATGAGAACAATACGAAAGAAACGATTATAGCATAGCACACTATATTTTATTCGGAGTTTGCTACCTAACATAAAACTAGATTAATCAATGATTTTCTATTCTTGGAATAATATTTTTCTCATATTGTACCTCTTAATAATAAAGAATACAAAGGTTTCTTCTATATTTTAGTTGTATTTTTGTTAAGACTTCGGTTAAGTGCTTAAGAAGTAATACATTTTCAACAGTTTTTTTGCGTGGAGCCAAACTCATCGATAGGTACTATCATGCAGAACTAACGGGATCATAATTACATAGTCGAGGTATTACAACCAGCTATTTTTCAAAGTGTTCATATTCCTGATTTTGTTTTTTCCTCTTAAAAAAGATTACATTCGAACTGAACGATTCTTTATGTTAGAGATCCATGTCTTCAGGTAAAGTGTGGAATCCAATCATTTACTCTGTGCCAGTAAAAAGTAATTCTTAAAAACTTTAATCTTAACTTTGTAGACGACTTTCAAATTAAATATTTCGTGTTACTATGAAATAATATAACTTAATAGGAAATTACTAAGCATCATGAAATATATTTGTCATAATTTAAAAAATATTTGACAACAAAAATTTGAAGATACTCTTCATAGTTTCAAATTTCATGTAAATTCTGAAATTTTTGTTCAATTTCTTTTTTTGACGTATCAATTGAGCTATTGAGCGACGAAAAAGGAAATTCTTAATTTCTTACGTTAAAAGTGATTATTACGTTATTTCCGTGTTTGACGTTATAAATTCACACTTCACTTATAGTCGTTTACTTTAAGAAATTATAACGTAACATTACGTTATAACGTCTTACGCGAAGGAAGAGTAAAATAGTTCACGTCAGAGCGAAAGGACATATCTATATCAATTTACGTGTAGTCGCGAGAACAGAAAACAGCCAACATCATAACGTCATGCTTTTCTTTTCTTCCTTTCTTTGGTTCGCTTTAAACATATATGTCATTTACGATAGACGAAGATGTTACGGCCCATCACTAATTTCAATGGTTATTGTTTGAATTTCCATGTAGGAAATTTCATTCTTTACTTTGACATCATTTTCATTGTATAATGATGATTATTTTCGAAGACTAAGATTTCTTCATTACTTTCATTAGTTTTGTACGATTTGAATCGTTTTTATAGAATTCAAGATCTTTCTTTTTGTATCCTTCTCATCATGTTATTTTCATGAATTAAAAGCAATGAATTTCAAACAACATTAAAGAATACGTATGGTTTATTCATCACAAATGACATTTTTTTTGTCATTTTATAAGTCACACCCTCAAGATATTGTACATCTGATGTTAAATCGCGTTACAAGACATGTACATGTTTGAGTTTTTAATGAAGCTCTACATTAATTAATTACTAAACGAGCTTTATTGTAAAATATTTTCGAATATATATTTGTTTTCATATATGAATTCTTTTCGAAATATCACTTGATTGATAATAATAGTCTTTATGATAAAGATATTGATGTTGAATTGATAGTTATTATTTGTCATGATTTATCAGGTATAGATGATAGTTCCAAAGAAATAGATTACTGTTTTCATAATGGTTATTCTAATTTTAAGGACTGATATTCAGAGTTTTTAGAACATATTTATTTTAAATAAAAATTTTCAACTCATATTAATAAATTGTTGATGTTGTACTATCATCACTTGATGGTGAATCATATTTAGGGATCTTTTTCAATGGGTCAACGATAAAAGTTTTGCTCCGAAATAATTCGAAACGGTTTCTGTATCAATTTTTAGTTGCTGTTGTTATTGATCGTTGTATTTGTCTTTCTTGTTATCATTCGTATTTCTAGATATGCTACTAGCACCGACTTCATAAAAAGATTTGTTTACATTATTCTATCAAGAATTCTTGTAATGCAAAAAGAAGAAACTATGCTTATAACTTGTTTTCTATTCTTGACGACACTACCCATTAAAACTCAGTATTGTAGTTGAAAATTCACGAGAAGCTTTTTACTTGTTAACAAAAAACAAAAACATACAGAAAACACAATAAAGAACATGTACACATTATTTGAATATTAAAATTTTCTTTGTGAAATAAATACTTGTAAAATTTGTCTTTATGATGAAAAGATACAGTAAAACACACTCTACAAATATGATTTTTTATTCATTTCACTGTTTCATGTCTCAGAGAACAAATTCTTTGTGTAAAATTGAAGATATATCTTGTTAAGATTCGTTTTTTGAATTACAAATAAATAAACTATCTTATAAGATTTCCAAGCAAGGTCGAACTTAGTTATGGTAACTTCTTCACTTTCATTAAAAAGCCACATTTTTTTTTTATTTTTAGAACGTTTTACCTCAATAAATTCTTTTAAACTTTCAGTAAAAAAGATAAAACATTCAATGAAAGAAAAATAAATCAAAGTATTTGTAAAATCTTATTTTCAATTCACATATGTAACATGACAGAATAATGAAAAAGAAAAGAAATTAAACAAAATAATAAGACACTACTGTCAACTATACTTTCTTAAAGATGTATACTATTGTGATTTCTATGATTATATAATGATGAAAAATGACTCGTATAGAAATTTGAATTATGTAATTTTGTTCTCAGTTTTTATGAATCTATGACATTTGTTTTCCACATAGTTATTTCTCAACAAATACTTTGTAGAAAATTCTGATCAACTGATAAATAAATATATTGAAATTAGATTATGTTAAGTTAATAAAGAAGTACAGTTATCAAGTCGAATTACCAAATCAGTTTTACATCCTTCTTATGACTTCATACATCTTAGTTTTCGCGTAATTATTTATGAATGATATCAATTTATTATTTAAACTTTAAATTGAA